TTAAGTCTCACTAAATCTTATAAAGTCCTAACAAATCCTAGTCTCAAATAAGTTAAATGCCTCGTGATTTTGTAAGGCTTTTTAAAATCTCATCAATTGAATACTCCAAGACTTTTAGAAGTCTTAAAAGAACTTAACAAATCTAAATTGAATACACCAGGATTTCTAAAGTCCTAAAAAGTCTTTTAAAATCTCAATTGAATACATTCCCTAAAGTTCTATTCGGTTATTTTAGCCGAAACAAGAGCAACCTTCTTTGTCTTCACTCGTTAAGACCAACTCTAACAATCTTCAAATATTTGTTTTGCACGGTTTTTTTATCATTTTTTTGTATTTTTATAATCTTCATTTGAGTTCATCTCAGCTCGTTTTATAGATTTTTCAGTCCATTAAGTTGTTTTTACTAGTTTATGTGTTTTCCTATTATTTATATGTTTTGTCTATTTTTCGTCTACTATAAGGAAAATTCTATTACAAAGTCCAACCTTTTGGAATTGTATCAATTTAAGTTCTCAATTTTATTCTGTTTCAATAAAAGAAAGATATACATTTTAGGTTATTCTCAATTTAAGTTTCACTGTTTTAGTTAACTTTTCATTGTAAGGTCCAACTAACTTTACTTTTTGATATAAATATGTGAAACAATTAATTTTATTTTATGATATAATTATATGAACAAAAATATTATTATTTTTTATTTATTTTTTTAAATATTTTAAATACCTATAATAAAAATACTAATTTTTTTTATTAAAATTTAGCTTAATAAGAAAATGAATCTAACAAATTACATTTTTGTAAAGGTTTAATAATGATTATTTAAAAAAAAAAAAAAGAAGTGANGTATAGCTATATTTTCTTATTAAGGTAATTTTACGAAAGATATTTATTATATTTTGTTATAAGTATGTAAAATATAAATTATAAAAATAAAAACAAAAAAAAAAATATTTTGTTCATATAACGACATCATAAAATAAAGTTAATTGGTTCACATATTTATATAAAAAACCAAAGTGAGTGGAGCCTTACAAAACTAACTAAAAAAGTGAATCTTAAATTAAGAATAACATAAAAGCCTCGTTTACTAGCCTTGATAGGATGGGATAAGGTTGGTTAACCAACCTTATCCCACTGTTACTAAATTGAATTAGGATAAGGATACAGATGACGTGGCATGAGTTGACGCACGCGTGTATCCTTGTTGGCAGGATAAAAGAATCCAGTCATTATGGTGTGATAAAATTATTTTAAGATAATTTTATTTAATTTAAAACAATATTATTTAATCTAAAATATTTTTACTTAATGTAAAATAATATTATTTAATCTATAAAATATTGATTTAAATAATTTTTTAATTTAAAAATTAATTTTTAATATAAATAATTCATTTAAATTAAAATAATATTATTTAATCCATAAAATATTAATTTAAATAATTTTATATAATATAAAAAATATTTTTTAATATAAAATAATTTATTTTAATTTAAAATAATATTATTTAATCCATAAAATATTAATTTAAATAATTTTATTTAATTTAAAACACTTTTATTAAATTTAAAATAATATTATTTAATCTATAAAATATTAATATAAATATTTAATTGAAAAAATATTATTTAATATAAAATAATTTAATTTAATTTAAAATAATATTATTTAATTTTTAAAATGTGAATTTAAATAATTTTATTTAATCTAAAATAATTTTATTTAATTTAAATTAATATTATTTAATCGATCAAATATTAATTTAATTACTTTATTTAATTTAAAAAATATTGTGATGTATAAAATATTTTTATTTAATTTAAAACAATATATTTAACTTATAAAAATATTAATTTAAAAAATATTAATTTAATTAAATAAATCAGTAATTTTATGTATTTATCATAGATTTTTATCCACTTTGGTAAAGATGGGACAATTTGTATCCAAAATCTGATGTCGCAAATTAGAGGCATTAATTTGTTCAATCCCAACATCTCTAGTAAACGAGGCCATATCGGATCAAATGATCAGTCCCTTATTTAAAATGAGAATGCGAGTTTCAATCCTAGCCATTCAATAGGAAACAAAATGTGTGATCTTTTTTTCACGGAATGATAGAGATATTTTATAAAACGCACAAGAGTGCAAAGAGTAGCCACCAGCTGATTACAAACAACCAACAGCGGAATACAAGCAGCCAATAGCTGAAAAAGTGGGAGGACAGGTCAAAAGACCGCCTAGAACCGACCCTAACGGGGTAATACTCAAAAAAGACTACAAAACACAAAAAAAACAAACGACATAAAGGCCCCAACAGGGAACTACCCGAGTGTCGGGCCTAAACAGGGTAATAAAGTTGACACTCGAGCTCACAGGGGCCAACGGCCCAAACCAAAAACACAGGACATGGATACACAGGCAAACACCCAGACCAAAAACACATGAACTGACACAAAACAAAGAACTACTATCTAAAAAACAATGCCTCCCTCAGCAGAAACATCCTAACAATACAGTAGACAAAGCTGCTTCCGAGGAGAGCTCCGAAGCTCAGATACCACGCCCGCCACTGTAGAAAGCCTAGCAAGACGATGACCCAAGCCTCATAACAGTCCGAAAGAACCGACTCGCATCCCGACCGCAAGAAACCACAATCACCCCCCAACCGTCTAACACCACTAGACAATTCAACACCATCCCGAACCTGCCTAACACCACTAGCCAAATCCGGAAACGGTCGGCCTCTCACAAGCTCTGGAACAGAGAAATAAGAGGAAATGAGAGAATGGCGTCAACGCTCTGCAGCATGAACCCAGCCCGAAGGGACGAACCCAGCCCGAAACGACAACCAATCCACCTAGCCCGAAAGTACAAACCCCGACCCACAATCCGATAGAGCCCAAAAATCCACAGCCGGTTTGACCTCCAAGCTCGGCGAGAAGAGACGCCCCGACCAAAGCCTAACCCCGAGCTCTCATCCCAATCACCGAAGTCCAAACCCCGCCCACCCGCTGCCGCACCAGAGCACCGGTGAACAGAGAAGTGGACAGATCCGGAAGCAAGCCCGTCGGAATTGATGGAAATGGGAGACATTCAGACAAAGGAGCCGCAAGCAACGTGAGCCGCATCCATCCTCTGGTACAACCCTCCACCCACCTCACTACCAGGAAGCTCCGGCGATCGGCAGGCACAGATCTACGAAATCCGCCTAGGACCACCATCCTCACCCGACAGTTAGCGAGACGAAGGTAGAGTGTTGCCCATAGAGGCGTGGACGCGCGGCGGAGACCAATCCACCGGCTTGTCGGATGGCAGCTGAGAGGGGACAAATCACCGGCGACGAGGCTAGGGTTTCGAGCTGAGAAGAGGGGATTTTACGGGAGAGAAAAAAAAAAATGTGTGATCAAAATTTAATCTTTTATTTTTATTTTTTAATTATTTAAATTTTAATTTCACCATTTTGATCGTTGACTGTTGACTTACAACGTTGACCGTTGACTTCTGGTGATGGCTTCTGACTTCCAACATTGACCGTTTACTGTATCATGCATTATGTGTAAACTAAATGTGTATTGTGTATAAAGTAAATGCATACTCGAAATATAGAGTTGATATGAACTAAATATGTATATTAAATATGCATTTCTTTATGAGCCAAATGCGCATTATTTATGACGTAAATGTGCACTCGAAATATATGCAATTGATACGAATATATATTTGGTATAAACAAAATATGCATTTTTTATGAACTAAATGTGCAACAATAATATCAACTAAGTATGCATTGTGCATGAACTAAATATACATTACGTATGAACTAAATGTGCATTTTGTACCAACTAAATGTGTAGTCAAAATATGCAATTGACACCAATATCCTGGAGCCTAACTGCTACTAAGTATCAACTAAATATGCATTTTTTTTATTTTTTTTTTTTGAATTGATAGATTAATTAAACTAAAACACATAATTACAGCCGACTGAATAGCTGGAATGGGAGGACTACACTAGGCATCCTAGAAACCACAATGCAAGACTAAAAAGAAAAATAAAAACTCCGCACAGGAGAATACAAAAACTCCCCAAAGGATAATAACACTACACCTCACATGGGAATAACACATTTCTCTAGAAGAGAAGAAAACAAAACACAATCTACAAAACAAAAACACGCTCAAAACACAAACACAACTAAAAAACACAAAACAAAATAAACGAGAGCCATTCCCACAACAGCGAAACCAAAAAGAACACCTACGATGCCGATACCCCCAAGCGACCACCCACGGCCAGAGACTTGGTCCAAGCCACAAAACCAGAAACTGCAGAAACGTAGCCTAACCAGATCTGAGACAAAAGGACCCGACCCCTCACCCGAGTAGACCACCCAACAACCCGCAACCGGAGAATCACAACAAAACTCCACTTCCCAACTACCGACGACTCGGATCAAGGCCACACGACCAGACCCAAGCCATCTCCGCCAAAAACATCCAAACGGCACCAATGGAAGAGAAGAGCGGGAGAAAAGAAGAGAGTGGAACCGCACAGATCTCAGCCCCGACCGCCATCGAAGGGATGATTGGAGCCACAACCAAGTCTCTCAACCTCGTCAGAAGCCCGCCACCGCCTAGACGTCGAAGAGCCACCGGAGTGAGACCCACCTTGGCACCGGGAAAAAGGCGAAAACCAAGGCTGAGCTCCGCCGCCTCACCCGAAGAACAGAAAGCCGCCACAATCGACGTGTCTCAGAAAGCTGGCCGTACAGTTCGGCGAAGCCCAACATCGTGGTGGCCCGAAGACCTTGCTGTGGGAAGGCAATGAATCGGCGATTTAGGTTTTCTGTCTTCTTATTTCCGAAAGAGGGAAAAAAAGGGTTGTTGTTCGAAGCCTATAGTTCCTACTCTCTCTCTCTCTTCACTAAATATGCATTGTTCATGAACTAAATATGCACAATGCATGAACTAATATGCGTTTTAAATGAACTAAATATATATTATGTATTACATTAATTATAATTAAAAATAAAAAATATTATATCAATTAATTATACTGGTTTGACCGCTGACTGTTGGCCGGTGGTCAACGGTTGCCGTCGGCGGTCAACGTAGGTCAATTAATTTATTTTTATTACATAATTAATTTAAATATATTAATAATTATTATTTTTTATTTATATAAATAATGTAAATTTCTATTGGTTAATATGAGTCATTGATCTATAAAGTGTCCTATTGGATCCACCTTATTTTAAGGTTTTTCAATGATAGTGGAACATTGAGTAAACGCTTCATTACAACTAAAAGTGTTATTGATATCACTTTTAAAAATTTGCGTTGTTCTTTGTAGCCATGATCCCCATGTTAACAGAATGAGAGGACATGGATATGATGGTGCTAGTAATATGCGTGGTTCTTGGAATTGGCTTCAAGCCTTATTTCTCAAAGATTACCACCATATTCATATTACATTCATTGTTTTGCACATCGTTTACAATTAACATTGGTTTACAAAGATCGCTAGTATTATTTGGGAGTTCATTTTTCAATTGGATATTGTTGTTAATATCACTATTTCTTTGCCTAAGTGTGCTTCTATGTTTGGCCATGAAGCATGTGAAAAGAACACTTTGTAATAATATTGGTAATGATATTCTCAAAAATCGTTTGTTGCTCTTCATCGAAATGGAGTTTACTAATAGCATAAATATAGATTCTATTATTGATGAATTTTACTCCATAAAAAATATTATACCAATTAAACCGGGAGTATATGAAGAAAAACTGAAGATATAGTGACAACTATCATATTTGTGACTACCACAAAAAATATTCTCTAAGATTTGAGAGAATCTGGTTGGGAGGCATTTCTTGAGGATGTTCTCGACAAATGGTTTTGATGTTTCGAACTTAGATGATTTTATATAGTTGGTTGTTCTCACGGACGTAAACAATTGAGCATCAATACTACTTTGACGTCTTTAATGAAACAATTGATTTCAGTTTTATGGAGTCGAACTTCTTTCCCGCACTGTGGCTTTACATTCTAAATATTCTTTTGAATAATTTAGTTGTGATGATATTTTGAAGTTCAAGAGAAAGTTTTATGCGGAAGATTTTACAGCTCAAGATATTGTAACTTTGAATTATGAGTTAATTCATTATAAGCATGATTTGTTGAAGAACTTTCAGACATCCACATGACTCGTTGAATTGTGCCATAAATTGACAAAGAGTGGTTGATCGAAAGTTTATATTATGTTAACTAGATTGATCCAGCTTGTTCTGACGTTACCATTTTCTATTGGTACAACCGAATAGCATTTTCGGCCATGAAGCTTGTGGAACGAATACTTTGTAATAATATTGGGAATGATTTTCTCAAAAATCGTTTGATGCTCCTCATCGAAAGGGAATTTACTAATAGCATAAATGTAGATTCTATTATTGATAACTTTACTCTACAAAAACTCGTCAAACACAATTTCAGTAAATATTTTTAAAAAATAATTATATAATTTTTATGAATTTGAATTTCTTAAATTTTTAACGCAATTTACTCTTAATTTTTGGATCCTGTATAGTGCGAAAACTAATGAAGGAAATTCCATTCCATAGCAAAATTCTATTGCTAATTAGCCTCAGTGTTTTTAGTGGTTACTTCATGTCACTAAGGCGGAAAAATGTGATAAGAGATTCAGCCCTCATCGGATCAACTTAAACGGAAAAAGTTTTTCCCAACACGATTCTTTTTATCCTTCTTTGTTCAGTCCGTGCAATTGCTTCTTTTATGAGCAACAATTATAATAATATTTTGTTTTAGTTGGTTGGTACGTAATTCAAAGGGTAAACTAATAAGTATTACTTTAGGAATTATTCATCTCAACTGCGACAGTTAAAAATACCTTAAAGGCGAGGATGAGTGAACGAATGATTGTCCAAACTCCTAATCAGTAAGGGTCAGCAAAAATCAAATTGGTTAAGAGTTTTTTAGTTTCTGTAAAGAGGCCACACGAAGACCACACACATATCATACAGTAGAATTTGTTTTCTATCATCTCATACTACTATTAAGAACTCACGTAATATATATATATATATATATATAAATATATATATATAGAGAAGGGATCATATGAGAATGACTCTTAATGCGAGAAATGAGAATAAGTTTGGACCATGTGATCAAGCATATCAATGGTTATGATGAAGTCAAACTTGGTCAATCATTAATGTCAATCTGGTAATTATTGGATCATATTGTGGTTAAATATATGTATTTGACCAATAATTAAGGATAGTATGGACATTAAATTCAAAACAACTAACTAGTGGGACCTACCACTACACAAATTTATAACACCACATAAATCATGTCATCCCACCTACCGTGACCTACCCCCTCCCTCATCATCTTCCCCAAACACACACACACACACACACTCAGTCGCCGGACCGCCGCCACAATTTCCGCCGCGACCGCAACCGATTAACCTCTCAACATCACTGACCTCCGCCGGAGAAAACCACATCGTTCCCCATCTCTCTGTTACTAATGCAACCTCTCGTCGGAAAGTCGCGCCGGATTTCCACCGCCGTCACTGGCCCTCGTCGTCTCGCCGCCAGGTCCCCAACATCACGGCACAGATCCGCCGGAGACGTCGTCTCCACCACGATCGGGCCCCAACAGCATTTCACAGATCCGCCGGTGATGGCGTCTCAGCCGGTCCTCAACAGCCCGACACAGATCCGCCGTCTCCCACGTTCAGTCGCATCAGGCAGCTAAGTCCGCTGTCGATCCACCGGACGCCATCAGGTTGCCACAATTCGAGAATGTCCGCCGAGGATAAGTAGCCGACGGGACTTCTGCAATTCTTCCATTGTTGTACTACCGGAGCGGCAAAGTGATGACGTGTCATCCGGCGACAGGGCGGTTCTCAGTTGCCGGCGGCGGCGGCTCGAACGGTAGGGGCCAGGGCAGCGGCCGGAAAATGTTGGTGTAATTGAGGTTGTTGTATTGAAAATTTGATATCATACAAGGGTCTAGCTGCAATTGTAAAAATTTTTAGTTTATTATAATTAAGTTCATGGGTAATATTTGTAATTAATTGAGAATTTTAGTTTTGACTATTTCGATCGCTATATTGCAACGTATTATTGTATACGGTGCAACATGTTGTATTATAAAGTGCATCGTATTACTGTATAAAGTGCAACGTATTATTTTTTATACGATTAGCATGTTTGTGTTTTTTAGATAGATAATGTGATAAAATACAACGTATTGTTTTGTAAAGTGCGACATTCCGTAATATAAAGTGCATTATCTAATTTATAAATAATAATAATAATAATAATATATTTTTCAGAAAATAAAGTACATATATTTTTTTTTTACTTTTTATATTATTTTTAATTAAAAAAAATAGTATATGTGTAAACGAAATATACGGTGCAATCTAAAAATTATTAAGGTGCAATTCCTACATCACTTTGGTGCATTGTGTCGGTCTGTATTGTGCAGTTGAACCAACCGATCTTTCGTAAAATGACCATAATTATTTGCTTTATTCGGTTTTGTTTAATGGAATTATCTTATTATATTAAAATTATATTTATGTTAATAATGCTATTTATTATTTTTATAATTTTTGGTTGAAAATTTTTGATTTCGGATGGTTTCGATATTTATGTGCAATGTAATAGTCCTGATAAAGTGCAACATATTATTTTCTAAAGTGCAATGTGTTGTTTTATAAAGTGCAACATGATGATGTATAGAGTTTACTACTGTAATTTTAGAGCGTGTTAATAAAGTGCAACGTGTTGTTCTATAAAGTACAACATGTTGTTTTATAAAGTGCAAAATTTTGATATATAGAGTGTACTACTGTAATTTTGGAGCGTGTTGATAAAGTGCAATGTATTGTTCTATAAATTGCAACGTGATGTTTTATATAGTGCAACATGTTGATATATAAAGTGCAATAATTAATATGAACATAAAGTATATGTTTTTGAAACTAGATTTAGTAGATATAATTGTACATAAAACTATCTAAATAATTGAAATAATATATTAGTTATTATTATAAAATTATACTTGTTATTGTAATATTTTTTATCATTATTTTTGTTATTTAATACTCTAAAAGTTTTATTTAATATATTATATTTTTTATATTATTAAAATATTTTATATTACTTTTATTTAATAATTTTATTTAACATTTTAATATATATGTATAAAAAACCGCTAATTCCTTTCCTGTATCTCAATCTATTTTTTTTAGTAATTGTTATGAATAGAAAGATAGATCCATTTAAAAGATAATGTTTTTATAACTTTTTATAAATTATAGATTTGGCCCATGAACTTAATTGAAATTTAATCAAAATCTTTAAATTACAAGTAAGTCCCTAAGAGTTATCAAATTCTCAAAATAAAACCCCACAATCTAATTGATTTTACATGAACAAATTGCCGTCGTCGGCCGGGAGCTCGGACGCTGTGTCAATGGACGGCAAACTGGCTGTTGAACGCCGTCGATTGTGGCACTCTGAACGGGCAGAGGTGGCGGCCGTACTTTGGAACGGACAGAGATGGGCGGAGGTGCGGCTGAACCTTTGAACGGCGAAGGTGCGGCTGATTCTTCGAATGGACGGAGATGGGCGGAGGTGCGGCTGGGAGAAGGTGGTTGAAATTTTGAACGGCGACGGGTGGGCAGATGGCGGAGCTGGGGAGGTTCGATCTAAATTCCGAAAGTGCGGAGATGGTCGGAGTTTCAGACGGGCGGCGCTATGGTGGTGATAGGCGGCAATGGGCGGCGCTAAGGAGGGAGTTTCTAGGTGGTTGGCTTCTCGCCGATTGGCTTCCCCGTCACATTGGTGGACTCCGGCGGCATCGGACGGCGGTCCTCCTTCGGTCAGAATCGCCGGCAATCTCCGCCCCGTGACGGCCATGTAGCTGAGGAAGTATGTATGGCGTCAGTGAAGGGTCGGCAGCGGTGCTCCGCCGTGTATGAATGTGTGTGCGTCTCCATTGTGTGCGTGTGTGTGTGTGTGTGTGTGTGTGTGAGAGAGAGAGAGAGAGAGAGAGANGTAAGTAGTACTATGTGTAATTCAAAAGTGTTGTACTAGTAAATTATCACAAGAGAGTTGAATTAATCAAATGTATGCCTAATATATGTGGTTTTTAACAATCTATATCTATATCTATGTCTATATATATATATATATATATATATATATATAAAGAGGTTGCAAAAATACATTAATAGAAAGTTTGACCAAATAAATATAATATTTGACTTACTATTAATGGAAAGTTCAAAAAAACACGTGTGAATCTTTAGTAACGAAATCTAAATCCTATTTTTTTGGTAACAAACTTGGAGATTCTTATGAGAAAATTTAAATCCCATATTTTTCGTATCATATTTTATTTTTTTACCAAAATTTAAATCATATTTTTTTGGTAACAAATTTGGAGATTCTTATGCAAAAAATGTGTCAATTATTTATGAATAGTTGTATAATTCTTAATCAATTCTTCCAATCTTATTGAATAATTTTTCTTTCAAAAAATTGTGTAAATTGGATAAAGACACTTTATTTTAAAATAAAACTGATATTTGGACGGGATGTATATTCAAAATTGTGTCCACATTTTTTGGTAACAAAAGCGGTTCATCATTGATATTTAAAGTTACCTTATCCAATTATTTAGGAAAACTTATGTGCAACTTTTCAAAATTTATATGTATCGATTTTTTTGGATTCTTATGTTTTTTCTTAACCATGGTTTACCGAGATTTTGGTAAGTTCATATCATTTTTTTTTTGGATAAGTTCATATCATTTTCTTTAAGAAAGAGACAGTTGCATAAACATTAACAATTTATTTTAATTTTTTTATTAGAATTATTTTCAATTCAATTTGTTTGGTACAAAAATTGGTGCAATGTTAGGAAAATTTGGTTGCATGCTTAGGAAAAATTGATGATTTTTCTTATTTGGTTTTAAAAAAAATCGGGTCAATTTGTTTGATAAAAAAATCAGTTTATTGGTAGGAAAATCGGTTTCATTTCCGGGATTAACTAATGATTCTTTTCAATTTTTCTTAATTGAAAGTTAGAATTAGATTTAAAATAAATAATAAGTAAAAATCCCTAAAGAATTTTACTTTTTTTTCTACTTTAATTTTATTCAATAAATAAGATCTTTTAATTTTTTTAAAATTTGTTAACTAATAACTAATAATATGCAATTTTTGATAAATTCGAACACCTATGTATTATTTTACGTGCCAAACTATCAACGACGGTCAAACTAATGATTCATTTTTCAAAATGAGCATTATCAAAATCAGCTCTGACTAACAATAAACTCGGTGAATTAAAATTTTCGTATACGGAATTTCGTGTTGAGTTGGTACTTGTTAATTTAACTCTTCTTCCTACACAAATGGCAATGATTAATTACTATAATCAGCAAGGTTAAATTAAATTTAACCATTATTAAGAGTTTAAGAACGACGAGTTTGAATTAATAGAGTTTATAAAAGCATAGAAAAATAGCAAAAAGAACATGAAGGGTTTGTGTAAAAAAGAGATAAAAAGGAAAAACGAAATCATTGATTAGATCGCCATTTACTACTACTAATCTCACCATTAATTAAAGTGAAATCAAATGGTCAGCATTGAATTTGAGAGGACCATTCAAGTCAAAATCCCAAGTATTGAGAAACTCGTTGACATTTTTTTCTCTTTTCATTTGCCTCACGAAATTTCCATTTTACATCAGTATATAATTAATTATCTTACTTGCCCCTGAAGCGCGTGGGCTTATTTTTCCTGCTTTTTTTTTATATTATACAATTTTNATTAGATTATTAAAACGAGTTGAAAAATTCGAAGGACGCGGTTTGCGATCAGACTTATAGAATGCACGTTAAATGTAATAAATAAAAGAACTTATATGCTTTTTTTATTTTGTTATAATGGTGTCTCATTGAAACATTGAAGTTATGATTATGATGGGCTTAGGGCTGACTCGGAACGGATTAACCCGTGAAATTTATTCAAGGTCAGCTTAGGAGTGATTTATAAAGTAATAATGTGAATTACATAATATACCTAAATTAAATACCAGTGAAATTTTATTTCAAGAGTAGATTAGGATTGATAAAAAGACTAATACTTTGAATTTATACAAAAATTTTATGGAGCCATCCACTATTTAATGTATTGACACTTATCTAAATTGTATTTATTGCATAACACGTGTCAATACACTATTGGTGAATAAGTGTGGATGACTTCATAAGTCCAACCATCTAATGACTCCATAGCAAAACTGTTACTTTATATACACAAATTAAAGAGAAGAAATTTATCTTATTTTCAAATATGCATTCATTTATCTGTTTAAAGTACATAAATCACATACATGGAGAAACCAAAACTTGACAAACTATTTAAAACTTAAAACGGGCTTCTAGTTTTACATTCAAGTAGTAATTAAAATTCAATTGGTCCCATTTAATCGGGCTTCTAGTTCCACTCTGGAAGAATAGAGTAAAACCACAATCTTAGAATGCGATTGGAAATGATTTTTTTTTTTTTAATTGTCTTTTTTTTTGGAAGTTGTAATGCTACAAATTTTTAACTCAAAATTCACTTTTCAACTAATTCAGTTTATATTTGTTAACTATTATCAATATAGATAAATAATATCAATCAATCATGTAAGAAACGTGGGTGACGGTTGTAGTCCCACGAACGTAAAGCGCACCATGACAAGGAAAGCTCAGATGACAAGGTTTAATCCCAAAACTAAAGCCCACTAGACTTATAATTTAGACTCATTTTTCCTATATAAACGATGTGGAACAACTCACAAGTGATATCCTAACACGCTCCATAACTTGTGAGTCCTTCATACGAGACCCAACTCATAAGTGATATTCTAACACTCCTTATCACTTGTGAGTCCTTCATACGAGGCCTAACTCATAAGTAATATACTAACACGCTCCCTCACTTGTGAGTCCTTCATACGAGGCCCAAACCCAACTAGGACTGGGTGATGGGTACGTCATCGCACGGTCCCACGTAGAATCTGATCTGATACATGTAAGAAACGACACCATGACAGGGAAAGCCCAGATGAAGCCCAAGTGAGGTTTCATCCCAAAACCAATTGATGAAATGAGAAGTAGTGTTGTGTACAAATTGTTATTTTTACCGAGTACCGAATCGAAGGATTCGTTCCCCTGGTCGATCTCACAAGGAAGGCGGTTCGGAATTTAGCTTCGGTATTGATTTCACACAAAAAGAAAATAAAATCCTAAACACTCTAATCAAATAAGGGGGGTTGAATAATTATTAACTAAGAAATAAAATAAACAATAATCTACCTAAAAATAAAAACAAAACAACGATAAAGAAGCTAGGGAGTCGGGGATAATTAATTCAAGTTCTATTTGTACACCAGGACATTAATCATTCTATTCTACATTGACGCTCTCGCTTAAACATCTAGCGGTTCGCTCCCAATAACTCTTCGTAACAAGGGATTGAACATAGACAAACAAACTTGAGCATACAACACAGGCCAATTATCCCAATCCCAATAACTATTCGTAACAAGGGACGAGTCATCGACAAGCACGTATTTCAATCCAAAACCTATAGACTATTCAATTACGAAATTATCTACCTCGTGCGAGCTTAAGTCTATGACTTCTCCCCTTTCGGTTCTCAAGGTCGCTAATTAAATTAGAAGAGAGTTAATCGACTAATCATATAGAATCAACAAAACCCTAACTCGACTAATCAACATTCAATTGTTTCCAATTGCAAGATCGAAGTGTCACTCTTCGATTATATCAATCAATCAAACAAGATTTCATCAATTCGTAATCAAATCAACCGCACAAGAACGAACAATTCAAGCCCGACAAATACACGTTAAACAAGAACAATCATCCCCTATCCGTAGCAATAAGAATTAGCTAAGTAATATCAATTCAACACAATCCATCATCTCTCTCAATTCAACCATTATTCATGAATTAAAAATAATGAAAAGAACTTACAATAAATCGCAATTCCAAGTGTTGAATTTGATTACAAGCTTAATCCTTGAATACTAATAAAAAGAAGAAGAAAATTGGAAAAGAAAGATGAAGATAAGAGGAAAAACGAAGAAGAAGAAGAAGAGAAGGAATGAGAGGAAGGAGAAGAGGAAGAAGGAGAAAAATGAAGGGGAGAGGTAATTTTCGGACCTAGGGTTCCTCCCCCTTCGAGCTGATGGTGAAAGAATGGAGAAGAAAACGAGTTTGTGGGGTTTTTATACCATTCTGGGACTTGCAGGGGGCCTTAGCGCCGCTAAGGGGGGTTAGCGCAGCTAAGGTACCTTAGCCGTTCGAGCCAGTACCGTGTAGCGCCGCTATTATGGCTGACAAGAAACGGCTCAAGGCTCAAACGGGATACTAGGGAAAATAACGTGAAGAACCAAAGAACAAAGCAAAAATGAGCTAACAACAAAACGCCTCAATCACTTTCGCAATTTTAAACTCTAATCGACTCCTTCCAATCAAACTCAAGGCAAGTTCTAATCATTCAAGAATATGACCAATATCTCACAAGAAAGAAGAGTAAGGATCAAAACCTCACAAGGTAAATAAATGTCACTCAAGGCAATCAAACAAATATCGAGGCAATGATCAACACAACCATCATCACAACTTCCCATTTCATCAAACATTCATCAACAAATCTTATAATTCACTAATACCACATGCTCAACAACACAAGAACCTAAGACTAGACCGGACGACCATATAAGCATGCAAAATTCAAATAAACTCCCCAACACTTAAAATGAGGCAATGTCCTCATTGCTTCAACACGAAACAGGAAGTCAAATAAAGGACCTAGCACTTTCATATAGCGAACC